CACACGTCACAGCTTCACACGCTGACACAGACGTCAACACACATGTCACAGCTCCACACATTGACACAGACGTCAACACACGTAACAGCTCCACTCCAACACAGACGTCAACACACATGTCACAGCTCCACACCAACACAGACGTCAACACACATTTCACAGATCCAAACACTCACACATACGTCAAAACACACGTCATATGTCCACACTGACACAGACGTCAACACACATGTCACAGCCTTACACACCTGCCATAGACCTAAACAACACACGTCACAGCTCCACACCGATCTTCAACAACAATATAATACGTCAGAGCTCGACATCGACACAGACGTCAACACACACGTCACTGCTGCACACCGATTGGCCAGGTGTCACCGTTTCACACTGACATAGACATGAACACACGTCACTGTCTAACACTGACAGACGGTAACACACGTCTCAGTTTCACACTTTACATTGTATCGTTAAGTACTACTCGTCACAGCTCCACACTGACAAAGACGTCACAGCTTCCATTACACCGACACAGACGTCAACACATACGTCATTAGCCCCACACTGACAAAGACGTCACAGCTCCACACCGACACAGACGTCAACACACACGTCACAGCTCCACATTGACACAGACGTCAACACACGTGTCACAGTTCAACACTGACAAAGACGTCAACACACATGTCACAGTTCAACACTGACAAAGACGTCAACATACACGTCACAGTTCCACACAGAGACAGACGTCAATACACACGTCACAGCTCCGCACTGACATACGTGTAAAAACACACGTCAACACAGACGTCAACACACACGTCACAGCTCCACACCGACACAGACGGCAACATACACGTCACTGTTGCACACCGACACAGGCGGCAACACACGTCACAGCTCCACACTGACACAGATGTCAACACACACGTCACAGCTCCACACTGACACAGACGTCAACACACGACAGAGCTCCACACTGACACAGACGTCACCACACACGTCACAGCTCCACACTGACACAGACGTCAACACACACGTCACAGCTCCACACCGACACAGATATGAACACACGTCACTGTTCCACACCAACACAGACGGTAGCACACACGTAACAGCTCCACACTGACAAAGACGTCAACACACAAGTCACATTTCCACACTCCGACAAAGACGGCAACACACACGATACTATTCGACACACCGACACAGACGTCAACACACATCGTTACAGTTCCAAACACCGGACACAGATGTCACAGTTTTACACTTACACAGATGTCAATTATACGTCATTGGTCCACACCGGACACAGCTGTCAACATTACTGGTCATCGTCAAAGCGTTCTACACCGACACAGCCGTCAACAACACGCCGTCAGTGTTCCACCCCGAGACAGACGGTTGCCAGCACATCGTCACACTTCAACACACACGTCACTGTTCAACACACCGACACAGACGTCAACACGAACGTCACAGTTTCGCACACCGACACAGACGTGAACTCAAACGTAACAGTTCAACACTGACTCAGACGTCAACACACACTTCACAGTTCCACACAGAGACAGACGTCAACACACACACGTCACAGCTCCACACTGACACAGACGTTAACACACACGTCACAGCTCCACACTGACACAGATGTCAACACACACGTCACAGCTCCACACTGACAAAGACGTCAAACACACACGTCACAGTTCCACACACTGACACAGACGTCAACACACACGTCACAGCTCCACACACTCACATAGACGTCAACACACACGTCACAGTTCCACACACTGACATAGACGTCAACACACACGTCACAGTTCCACACACTTGACACAGACGTCAACACAGAACACAGTTCCACACGTCACAGGCGTCAACACACACGTCACAGTTCCACACTCACACAGACGCCAACACACGTCACAGCTCCAGCACCGACACAGACGTCAACACACACGTCACAGCTCCACACTGACACAGACGTCAACACACACGTCACAGCTCCACACACTGACACAGACGTCAACACTCATCACGTCACAGCTCAACACACTGACACAGACGTCACACACACGTCACAGTTCCAACACACCGACACACGTCACACATCACACACACGTCACACGTCACAGTTCCACACTCCGACACAGACGTCAACACACACGTCACAGTTCCACACAGAGACAGTAGTCAACACACACGTCACAGCTCCACACTAAAACAGACGTCAACACACACGTCACAGCTCAGCACTGATATAGACGCCAAAACAAACGTCCCAGCTCTACACACTGACACAGACGTCAACACAAACGTCACAGCTCCACACAACGAAACAGACGTCAACACACACGCCAGAGTTCCACACACTGACACTGACATTAATACACGTCACACCTCCACACTGACACAGACGTCAACACACACGTCACAGCTCCACACTGACACAGACGTCAACACACACGTCACAGCTCCACACTGACACAGACGTGAACACACATGTCACAGCTCCACACCGACACAGACGTGAACACACACGTCACAGCTCCACACCGACACACACGGCAACACACACGTCACTGTTGCACACTGACACAGGCGGCAACACACATCACAGTTCCACACTGATACAGGTGTCACCGTTCTACACTGACACAGACGGCAACACACGTCACAGTGTCACACTTACACAGATGTCAACACACACGTCAGTGTTCCACACCGACACAGCCTTCAACACACACGTCAGTGTTCAACACCCGAGACAGACGGCAACACATACGTGACACTTCCACACTGACACAGACGTCAGCACACACGCCACAGTTCCAAGCTGACACAGACGTCACAGTTCCAAGCTGACACAGACGTCAACACACACGTCACAGTTCTTCACCGACACAGACATGAACACACGTAACAGCTCCACACTGACACAGACGTCAACACACGTCACATTTCCACACTACGACACAGACGTCAACACACGTCACAGTTTTACACTTACACAGATGTCAACACACACGTCAGTGTTTTACACCGACACAGCCATCAACCCACACGTCACACTTTCACACTCACACAGACGCCAACACACGTCACAGTTCCACACTGACACAGACGTCAGCACACACGCCACAGTTCCACACACCGACACAGACGTCAGTATAGTAGTAGCCATGGGGTGAATGTTGGTGGGTGGGTGTAGAACATACAACATAACGCTACTTGTGGTCACAGATGACAGCCATTTTATTCATCCAATAAAAAAGGAATGTTTGATAATTCTGAAAATATACATAAATATAATTAACTATTTGAGCATAAAGGCATAACATGCCTTACATATACACGTATTACACGTTCTACGTATTCTTAGATTACAGCCAGCCCTAACAATGCATTAGCATAAATAAATCTTTAAATATAAATAATAAGATGAAAACTATTCCTTCATATGTATGTATATCATTTATGATATACATGAAGAATATATAGAGAGTTCATTACATACAAGATCATATGTAGTATACTAACCACAGAGTGTAAACAAGGTCTCATAGCAGTCACGGATCATCAATCATCACGGGTCATTCTAAGAAAAGTTAATATACAAAATTGATAATACTAACAATGGTATATAAAACAAGTTATGATAAAAAGAATAACTACCACATCCACCCTCACTATTTCTTACTATATTCACACATCACGGTTTTTCACAGAAATTGATACTTCACAACCGTACACGGACACTGGCTGTTACACATACAGAAATATATATATATAAAATATCAAACAAAACAAGAACGAATAATAGCATCAAAGAACTGTATTCGACGTGAAACACGTCAGCCATCATAACTGCAATATACATCTAGTGATACAGTCGAAGTTGTGATTGAAACGCTAACCAAGAATTGGTGATAATGTCCTGCTTGTACATTGTCAGATCCAAAGGAATACACATAAGCATCTCATATTACAGCATATCACATCATTCATGAGATCAGTTGCTGAAAACCAAAACCAATTGCATGTGACAGTGGTCTTCACTGTGAATCAGTGTTGAAAGTGTGTAATTAAGCTCCTGCTCACATTCAGTAAAGGGCAATGGAATTCATTTTTAGACTTGTTCTGTTTTTAGACAGGGTTCTGATAGGTACTACAATCGCATGGGCCTTTCCAGTGTAATCTGACCCAGAGGGTTCGAGAAAGGTTTGGGAGCCTAAGGGGAGCTAACCTTTGTCACAAGCAGGTTACATTATAATTGCAAAATTTAACGTTAGCACCGTTTAAAACACAGACAAAGACTTGGGTCATTTTCGATGTGCCTATGTAACCATGCAATTTTAACCAGCTACCTCCCATAGAAAAGACATTTTGATGGCCGTATCATACTGAAGCACAATATCTACAACTGCAGGCTGTCTGTTTCGTTCCATGTATTATCTACATATAACCAGCTTTCACATTGTAAAGAGAATATATATTGCAGAACTAAAAGGAATGTACACAGGTTTGTATGGGCTCCATTTGTTTGGCCATACTGCGCATGCCTATATCTATTTGTCTCTAAAAACCCTTTACATGTAATAACTCTAGAGGACCAAGGAACTTAATTTATTCATGAGCGTTCCGAAAAACCCATGCAGACGCTGAAGAAAGCTTTAGTTAAATCTACAAGCTTAATCTGAAACAGTTCAAGATTAGTGAAAAGCACATTGATAGACTGTCTCACTGTCCCTTGACCAAGTTATTCTGTCTTCCGTCCTGACCTTTCTCCAATGCTAAAGCCGTATATGAAGCAAAGGTAACATTTCCACACGGTCACGGTACTGTCGGCTCACTGGGGCTTGTTTTCAATATGGAGTTATTTGGTTCGTAATCTAACCCAGTCTTCTGGGTGATGACCTAAAACTTTAACCACAAGGCTACCCCACCGCCCAGTGCTACTATATAATTACAGCCCAAACCCTGCTGTTCCTTCTTCCCCCTTTACGTCTGGGTTCCATTGTCTACTTTACAATAATCCAGAATGGCCACAATTGTTCTCGACATTCCCTTGCTTTTCTCCAATTCTGTGCCGATTGGTGTACCATCTCCAGAGTAGTCACGGACTGATATCTGATAGTTCTGTAGCATACTGCTCAGCTGTTCTCCCCTGTATGTCTCGAACAGTTTTGTCGACGCCTTGTCTGAGTAGCAGCTTCACTCGTTCACACCTGTTGTAGCTGCGGTCAGCAGCAGCCCGGAAAAAGGCCCTGTCCTGGTCATTTTGCTTATTTACAGTGACCCCAAGTTCTGAAAGAATCTCTAAAGTTTCATTTCGTGAAGCCTGTGCAGCGTAGTGTAAAGCTGTCCTTCCTTCGTGATCTTGTATTTTTGGGTTGACCTTCTTGAGAAGCATCTCCAGCATTTTCATCCTTCTATACTCACACAGTAGGATTCCATATTCTTGTTCGAATTCACTTCGGTAAATAGTTGTCCTACGAGCACCTGTTTTAGTGAGAAGAGGTATAGTGTCACTAGGTCTGGGATGAAGAGGTTTTGGATGAAGAGGTATATTGGCAAACAAATTCTGTACTTCTGTGTAAGCACCGTGTTGAACCGGCTTTATGTTTTTGACTGGCGATTGTTCTAAAGCATAGTGAAGAGCTGTCCTTCCCTTCTTGTCAAGAACATTTGGGTCCACACTCTTCTCCAACAGCATCTCCAAAATATCACAGGTGTTGTCTCTGGCCTTTGCTGCACAGTGGAGAGGTGTCATGCCCTGTAAGTCATGTACACCTGGATCAGCTTCGTGATCTAGAAGAAGCTTGACACTCTCTTTGTTCGAATGTTCTGACGCATAGTGAAGAGCTGTCCTTCCCTTCTTGTCAAGAACATTTGGGTCCACACTCTTCTCCAGCAGTATCTCCAAAATATGGTAACTGTAACGATTCTTAGCAGCACAGTGGAGACATGTCATGCCCTGTAAGTCCTGTAAACATGGATCTGCTTCGTGATCTAGAAGAAGCATGACACTTTCTTTGTTCGAATGTTCTGACGCATAGTGAAGAGCTGTCCTTCCATGCTTGTCAAGAAGATTTGGGTATATGCCTCTCTCTAGCAGTATCGGCAAAATATCAGATCGGTAAGGACGCAAGTGTACAGCACAGTGAAGAGCTGACATGCCCTGCAGGTCCTGTACACCTGGATCAGCACAGCGATCAAGCAGAAACTTCACTGAGTCTTCAGAGTCACCTGAGACATAATGAAGTGCTGTCCTTCCTTTCTTGTCAAGAATATTTGGATCCACTCCTCTCTCGATCAGTGTCTGTAAGGCTCCATAACTATTCGCAGCAGCACAGTGGAGATATGTCATGCCTTGCAGATCCTGTACAGAAGGATCAGCACCACGATCTAGAAGAAGTTTGACGCTCTCTTTCTTTGGATATTCTGATGCATAGTGAAGTGCTGTCTTTCCACGCCTATCTTGAACATTTAATTTTAACGATTTCTCAAGTAGCAGTGGAAGTGTATCCTTAAATACTGAGCCTTTTTTGGTAGAAGCACAATGGAGGGACGTCATGCCCCATAGATCTTGAACATCTGGATCAGCACCGTGATCAAGCAGAAGCATGACACTGGAGTTTTCCGAATGATCTGAAGCATAGTGAAGAGCTGTCCTACCTAGCTTATCCGGTATATTTGGGTCAACACCCTTCTCTAAAAATAACTTGAGGAATCCACAAGGACCCAGACAAGATAGCTCCGCATAATCATTGTTTGCTTCTAACATCTGTAAAGTGAAGCCTCTCTTCGTCACAACTAAATGAAGTGCTGTCATTCCCTGATTGTCTTGTATATTTGCATCAATTCCACTGTCTAGCAAGGCACTTACAGTCCTGTATCTTTCATGTACAGCAGCCATATGAAAGGGAGTCCATCCCATTCCATCCCTTACATTTGGGTCAACGCCTTTTTCCAGAAGAAGTTTCACAGTCTTAGGTTTACCACACCCTGCAGCATAGTGAAGAGGGTTTCTACCCATTATATCTTGAAGGTGTGGATTCACACCTTGCTCGAGAAGCATTTTGGTCAGCGTGTAGTTTGCTCTTGCACAATACAACATGCAAGGACTTTGAAGATACCAATACTGAGAAAATGAATATGAAAAAAGAGTTGGTGTATCAAGAAAACGTTCCCAAAGTTCAGATTTCCTCTGTTCAGTGGCATAGTGGAGATATGTTTTTCCGAAATCATCTCTTCTATTTGGATCGAATTCTCTGTCTGTATTTCCATGCTTGAGAATTAGCTCCGCTGCATCATAAATCATATCCTCAATGGCAAGACGAAGGGCTGTTGTACCACGGGAATCCATTGCATTTAGATCAACACCCCTCTTTACCAATACATCAACCATTTTTATGATTTTGTTGTGTCTGAAAGGTGTTTTAAGTAAACACAGCAAAATGTTGCCTTTACTGGCACCTTTGTGATTTACACTCAACCCTCTCTTCAGTAGGAATTCCAATATTTCAACTCCATAAGTATCGGCATGAGTGTCGATTGCTGAAAATATCGCTGTTCTGCCATCCTTGTCTTCTGCATCAGGAAGATGCTTTTGACATCAATGAGAAATGTGAGTTTCTCTAAAGCATCAACACGAGAGCATGCTGCCATGTGAACAATTGGTCTCTTGTCAGCGTCTACTGCTTCAATCTGTGCTCCTGAGTTGCACAAGAGCTCCAGTACTTCTATGTCAGCATACTCACAGGCTAGGTGAACAACACTTCTAGTTTGTGAACCGCATTGTGAAAGAATATTCACATCAGCTTCTTTGCTGCAAAGGAATTTTACGGTCTCCAAATCATTACATAGGACAGCCTTGTGAAGAATTGTTCTACCCTTTCCATCCATTTGATTTAAGATACTTTCTGCCACAACTAAAGCTTTCACTATTTCACGATTCACGTTTTCAATGACTGACAAAGGTACGAGTCCTTCACGGTTTTCCAGGTTAACAGGTGCCTTATGCTGCAGAAGTATTTTCACACATTCAAGGTGACTGTTCTGAACAGCCAAATGTAATGGGGTATTGCCATCATTGTCTTTCAAATCTACCTGAAAACCTTTCCCTAATAAGAAATCTGCACATTTATCGTTTCCATGTTGTGCTGCCCTGTGTAGCAAGAAGGTGTTTGCGGCAGCAACCCTAAAACGCTGGCTTATATCTTGGGAATATTTCATCAATATATCCAAGGACTCAGTGCTACCATAAGCTGCTGCCTGTTCTTGAGGTGTTGCGTATTTGGTGGAGTACTTGTTGGCATCGACGTAATTCCTCGTCTGCAAAATGTCTGTCTCAAGATTCAGTAAAAGATTCAGAACTGTGGCATCTGAGTGAGCTGAGGCTGACAAAAGGAGATGTTGACAATGAAGTTTACATCCAGTTGCAAGTAGTATTTGAATCATTTCTTTTAAACATTCCCTGCTGCTAAACACAGTGAGTTTGGGATGATGTGTTTGCATCTTATCACAGAGCCATGATAATATCTCTGAGATTACATTGAGGTTGTCGTCCTTGTGTTTTAACATGTGCACTGTCAACTGGACTATGTGTGTGTTTCCCATGTGTACTGCATACAGTAAGATTTCTGCCATGTTTTGACCAATTGCACATCCTTTTCCTAATTCTGGACTGTAGCGTAGTCTTTTTTCCCTCACGTAAGCAGTAATAAAACCGTTAAAGATTCTATCAACGAGGTCGTTCTTAAGACTCTGGCTAGAATTCATGAATAGAGCTATAAAACAATTCTCGTTTGACTCAGCACCATGATCAAGAAGCCATTTGACAAAATTGTTACTTCCAACATAAATTGCACAAGGCAAACATTCCTGTATTGTGTCTTTGAATTTTTCAGGCGATGGAATCGAATTTACAACAACTTGTACCAGATGATGATTACTTTCCATTACAAATTTACTCAATAAATATTCATATTTGAAAAACCGAATCTTCTCATCTTCACGGATATATGAAGACAATTCATCAAAATATTTTCTCTGCATAATGCTTGTCAGTTTCCCCTTTTTCGCCCATCTTTGCACCAAGAATGATAGAAATTCCTTGTGCTTGAGTGAAGGATGTCCCACTATCATTCCACTGCTCTCAGGTTCAGCTGACAAAAGCAACTCTGTGATGCGGTCAGCAAATACATCATAATTTTCCTCAGGTATCAAGACAATATTTATCTCTCCATCCAGTCTTTCGGTTCTTACCACTTCTCCAAGGACATCAATTGGCAATGTTCTGATGCAAGAGCTGGGAAACTGCTCTGAGTAGCTGATCAAAACAGACTCATATATAGACTGATGCTGAAAAGCATATCCTTTCTGGCCTTGCTTTAAATAAACACCACAGAGTGAATCTGCTTTTGTTTTGATGTCAAATAAGCTTGGACGTGTTCGTAGATTTGAACAATATTCTGTCAACATCTCAACCATTTCTTTAAATTCAGATGTACATTTTCTTGGATCAAGAGGAGTTGCATTAAGATGCCCATCACTCATCAATACCAGCAAAAGAACCAGATAACTCAAACCATCACTTTCCTTGAGGGCATCAACTTCCTTTAGGACGCACTCATTGGGTTTCTTGAAAAAGCTTAACCCCTTCTTTTGCACTTCCATGCTACTGGCAAAGAAAGTGCAAACCTGTGGGAACCCAAGGGCTGTTTTCATATTGACAATTTCTTCTACTTCTTTTTCAGAAAATTTGCCATGACAAACAACTTTCAACATTTTTTCCTTTTCCTTATTCTGAAGAGTATACTCACCGTCATCAATGAGAAAATGACAGATCTTTGTCATGAGATTGTGTTTGTTTAGTCGGTACTGACACTGTGCGGTGATTTCAGATCTGGATGTTAAGATCAGAAAGATGTGGCCAGATTCAATAGATGGCCACATTATATCAAACTTCCTTGTCCAATCTGCAAAATGTGATTGTGAAAAGTTTGTCAGGCCAAAAATGTCATCAATCATCACAATGTAACGTTCACTTTTACTTCTGGACTTGTCAGTTTTGCCATTCTTCGGAATGAGTGACCATTCATCTGCTGAAGTCAACAGAAGAGGAGTCCTCCCTTCCATCTTAGACATCTTTTCTAGTAACCGCCGACCCAGCCGTGATTTCCCAGATCCTGACATCCCCTTTAGGAAGATACATCCACAATCTGTCAACAGTCTTAGGGCAGACCTCTCGGCATAGGTAGACACGTATTCGGTTCTGTCATGCTTGAGTGAATGCTCCGTGGCATCTGAAAGATAATCATAATTGTAACATGCTTTAACATGTAGCTGAGAAAACTATTTCAGAAATTTGTTATCCAACATATATGTGAGATGAAATCATAGTTTTGTGATTTTGTTATGACCTGAGATCAAATTAGAACAGATTCGTGTCCTGATTGGGTCCCGTAAACAGTCTCTAACTGCTGACGACCCGTGAAGATCCGGGGTAGAATAGGTCTTCAGCAACCAATGTGCTTGCCATAAAAAGGCGACTATTTTGTCGTAAGAGGCGACTAACGGGATCGGGTGGTCAGTTTCACTGACTTGGTTGACACATGTCATCGGTTCCCAATTGCGCAGATCGATGTTTATGCTGTTGATCTCTGGATTGTCTGGTCCAGATTCGATTATTTACAGACCGCCGCCATATAGCTGGAATATTGCTGAGTGTGGCGTAAAACTAAACTCACTCACTCACTCACTCATTCTAACTGCTGACAGAATTTACAGGTATGAGTTATACTTACCGCGGATATTTTTAAAACGATCATCTGGAATAAAAAAACATAAGTTAGAATATGGGTGGCATGTAAATACTTGGACTCACTTCTTACAGTTAATGTATTTCTAAATAAAAAAGGAATGAACATTTATATAGTACATTCTTCCAAAAGAAGAAACGCACAGGCGTTTTCAGCAGTTAATTTCAATATACTTTGACAGCAATCGTCATTAAGACAATTCCTATGTTTGAATGGGAGGATCGGAGGATGGGAGACAACGTGTCTATCGACGTCGACACGAACGTTTTGCGCCGAGCTGCGTGGATAGATTTGATAGAGAAAGCGTCACATGTGCAGTCAGTAAACTGAATTAATGCTGACAATGACAACAATACATGTGTTCATTCGTGTGTCGAATTTCCTTCATATATGCTCAAGCCTAACCGACTCATATACACTTAAAACGTTAAATAAACTGCTTTATTTTGGGCCTATGCGTTTATTTTTTTAGAGTTTCTTTTTCCTGTTAGAAGTTGGGGTTGTTTTTTTTTTTAATATGTCATTTCACCCTGCCGTTTCTAGAAACGTATGCAAAATATTCAGAATATTACACCATAATCGACCTGTTTACCAACAAAATTAATGGTGTTTATGTCAAGAAAAGGTGTATACATCACCAATGTGTTGTGGCGTCACTCCTGATGATCTGGGCTGCTGCATAACTCTTTTCTTTTGGGGGATGATGCTGATGGAGTCACTCATGATGCGGGCTGCTTGATGAGTCACGTCACTCCTGATGATGCGGGCTGCTGATGCGTCACTCCTGATGATGCGGGCTGCTGATGCGTCACTCCTGATGATGTGGGCTGCTGATGCGTCACTCCTGGTGACTCGGGCTGCTGATGCATCACTTCATTTGGTCCAAGCTGTTCCCCCATCATTTCAGATGGTACACTTTGATGTATCACTCCTGATGGCTGGACACGCCCATCTGTATGAATGACTGTGACGCCTAATGCACCAGAATCTATGACATTCAAACCATATTCTCCTATTTCAATAACTGGTGCGCCAGGTAGTGACAACAGTGAAGACACATTTGTATCTGGTGTGTCCAGTGCTCTTCCATCTTGAGTTGATGTACATGGCTTCTTCACATCCACATCCTCATCCTCATCATCTGGGTCTTCGGTTGAGCCCACGCGGAATTTTCTTTTTTGTGCTTGAGACATTTTCAGTACCTGAAAAAAGCATCACATGCGATGAAAATAGCTCAACACTAGTCTACTTCATGTTTACTCCACGATATGATCTTGGTGTGTATGATCTTATGCTGGAATACATTAACTTGCTTCTGTGTCATCTGATGACCTGAGCGAACATCGTTTGTGGCTGAAACTTGTTTCCACGAAACTTATTTCACATGTGGTTTATTTCGTGTTTAGCAAGGTTTGTCTCCCGTTAGTCAGTCAGTTCGTTGACTGTGAGGTATTCGATGCATTAAGACCCACAGTTGGTGGGCGTGGTGGGCGAGCTGGCTTAGGCTGTGTAATGCGCCAGGCTAGTGATCCAGCGGGCATGAGGTGTCGGGATCGAACCCACCTGTGACTGGTTGTAAAAACCTTGGAGTCAGCCTTGTGTGCAGACTCGTTCAGTGTTGTCACAACCCTTAGTGTACAGTCCACAACCCTGTGCATTTAAAAGAACCCACGAATCCGTTGGTATATGACCAGATGGTGGCCACATGAATACGTGCAAACACCTACAGTAGTTGTTTTTGAGAGCCCGGGCCAAGCCGGACCGAACGCTTGTGATACTCTGTCTTTGTTGAGAATATGTAGAAAAGATAGCTTCACTTTCAGCAACGTGTTCGCTTCAAATACTACGCTTTGAGACTCTGTGAAGTGACATTTAGGTAGATATAATACTAATCTATGGATTTAAACACGAATCAGGATAAATGTGTCAGGTTTAAGTTGTTTTTAACAGCACGGGCCAAGCTTGGCTGAACAGAGTCTAAACACTTTTGACTGAGACAATATTGTGAATGGAGAGAGGAAAGGGCTTCACTTTAACGAACCAGTTATCTTTACATGTGACATTTTGTAACTTCACACGGTGATATTTAGGTAGATATAATACTAATCTATGGAATTAAACACAAATCAGGACATATGTGTGGGGCTTAAGTTGTTTTTGAGAGCCCGGGCCAAGCCGGACCGAAAGCATAACGGTGATACTGTGTGGTTGTTGAGAATGTATAGAAAATAGGGCTTCACTTTAAGCAACGTGTTTGCTTCAAATACAACGCTTTGAGACTCTATAAAGACGTACTTTGTTAGATATAACTCTATTCTAGAGATATAGACAGAAATCAGATACATGTGTGAGGTTTAAGGTGTTTTTGACAGCACGGGCCATGTCTGGCTGAACGTTGGGCAGACAATAAGCTCACTGGGATAAAAAGCCCTCGGACAAAAAACCCCTAGGCTAAATGTCCCCAGGACAAAAAGCCCTTGCAAATTTCAACCCATAGGATAAAACACCCTCGGTGTATATTTTGAGTTGACAGGTGATAACATGATGTTTTCTAAGCAATTCCTCCCACTGCTGCCAGTTGTTTCAGGCTCCTCAGTGACGATGTTGTTATTTTAACAATGGAATGAAGTCTGCTAAATGTTGTTTCAGAGAACTAGCTTAAATTGGTCACTTCCTCTTATGTTTGATTTTGTTGGACAGGTACTCATTGTTGTATGTCAATGAACATGGTGTTTATTAAGATGGTCTATTAAGATGGTCAGCGCTATTATTATTTAAATAAATTGCTGATTTCCTGCTACCTTCTTTAAAGGTTGGAATCCAGAGGCCGGCTATTGGTGACGGTGTTCCCAGCATTCGCTTTTGACTGGTATAGGACACAATATTAGACTGGTATGAACTGTAGCACAAGTATCAACTGCACAACTGCATTATGTGCTTGGTGATTTACATTTGTGAGGTATGTGCTAAAAATTTACGACTATGAATATGATCGCTCATATTGCCAAGTCATATAAACATAATATAGTGTTAGACGACATACCTTTGTATCATTTAATGTCAATAATACACTTTTGTCATTCTGAAGTTCATTGTTGTCCATATCGGACGACAGGCAGCCATTGTGCACAACTTGGTGACGTCATATGTTTACGTGGTATTTCCTTCAGATCAAATTACGGGCGCACAGCACATGTCACAATCTTACACATTGTCAACAGCCGAGCCGGGAGTGTCAATGTAGGTTTACAGTAATATCGAAGTTGTTAAATTGTATTACAGTAAACGATTTTGTAGAATTAACACAATAGTCACATTTCTTCAGCATTAATAGACTCAAAGTTGCATTAGTTTTTAATAGTAGATGACTGTATGTACGCAAATTGATGAAAGTCTGAACATATTTTGCTCACAGCTATTGCCGATCAACTGATGAACGTAAACAATCGATAGGTGGCGCGATTTGGCGTGTGGCTCGTGAGAAATTATGTCATTAGAAAATACCACGGAAACGTAGGTACCACGGAATCATATGATTACATGGTTACATATGCTATTTAATGTTGAATGTTATATTATATTGTATTCATGTGGGAATGAAAAAAAAGATTTGTTGGTATTCTATTACATCTCTTCATTGAGGACCTTTTGTCCTACCCATTGAGGGCTTTTTGTCATGGGGGCATTTAGCCCAGGGGTGTTTTGTCTGAGGGTGTTATGTCATTGTGGGCCTATTGTCCTACCACCGGCCGAACAGAGACTAAACACTTTTGATTGAGTCTATATTGTGAACGGAGAGACAAAAGGGCTAACTTTAACGAACCAGTTATCTTTACATGTGGCATTTTGTAACATCACACATTGATATTTAGGTAGATATAATACTAATCTATGGATTTAAACGCAAATCAGGATAAATGTGTCAGGTTTAAGTTGTTTTTGACAGCACGGGCCAAGCCGGGCCGAACAGCGACTAAACACTTTTGATTGAGGCTATGTTGTGAATGGAGAGAGAAAATGGCTTCACTGTAACGAAGCAGTTTTCTTTACATGTGGCATTTTGTACCATCACACGGTGATATTTAGGTAGATATAATGCTGATCTATGGAATTAAACACAAATCAGGACATATGTGTGGGGTTTAAGGTGCGCTTGAGAGCCCGGGCCAAGCCGGACCGAAAGCATGACTGTGATACTGTGTGGTTGTTGAGAATGTATAGAAAATAGGGCTTCACTTTAAGCAACGTGTTTGCTTCAAATACAACGCTTTGAGACTCTATAAAGACGTATTTAGGTAGATATAACTCTGTTCTAGAGATATAGACAGCAATCAGGATACATGTGTGAGGGTTTAAGGTGTTTTTGACAGCACGGGCCAAGTCGGGCTGAACAGAGACTAAACACTTTTGATTGCGGATTTTGTTTTCCGAGGACTTTATTTTCCTAAATCGTTGGGAATGGAGAGAGAATGGGGCTTCACTTTTACTTTACTTTATGAAGTGGTATTTAGGTAGATATAATACCATTTTGTATTTCATGTGTATTAGTAAATATAAGCATATGCATACGCGCTGGCTATTTGATTTGGGCTGGTATTATTTACAATGAAAACACATAAGAATTTTTGTGTTTGTGAATGCATACTTTGTTTGATCCTTTATAACATATTACAAAGTTTTCTGATTTCAAACATTTCTTTTAATATACATAATCATGTCGTGCCCATTGACACTCGCCGATATTCACGTCTCTTTAACATAAGCATCCTGTGCTGATTCAGCCTGAGACAATTCTATTCTGATTCTACGGGAATCTCGGTATGTAGTTATTGTTGTTGTGTGGGTTTTTTCACCACTAACTATACATTTTCAATCAAACTATGTATTTGTGAAGGCAGGAAGTGTATCGACCCAAATGTGCAGGTTTCGTTTTAATATTCTGCAATCCATTTTAGTATTACCCGGTGGCCCGGCCCGGCCCGACTGGGGGATGGTATAAAACCATTTAGGGTCCATGCAGGAAGCAAATGGACTGTAAGTTCCCATGGTCACTAGTATGGTGATCTACCTTCAGTTGTTGGCGATCTATAGCCCGATGTTATATAGTGTTGTTTTGAAATGAGTTAATATTTTACACTGAACTGAAGCTAGTTTTAATCGAATTGTGCTATCTATTCGTTATACTGTCCTTCGCTGGCAGGTTTGTAAATAAGTATACATATGTTTATTCTTAGTACATAACTTTTTGTAGTCACAATATGGCTGAAATGTTGTCGATGTGACGTTAAATATTAACTCACTCCGTACTGTCTCTGGGCTTTGCATTTAGCCCAGCTTCAGCTTTAATACAGCCTTGGAGCAAGCCTAGCCAGGTCTGTGAGACCGTAGCGCTGTGTCGAGGGCCGCGTCCCTTTGTTATATGGTGTCTAATGTTACCAATTCTCACTGTCTACATGTGCTGTGACAACCCATTCCAATTCTTTGTCCGATTAAGACTATTTTTAAACAAGTGTCTGTCTGTCTAACGCACTCGGACTTAGTGCTAAAGTTTGTTCAACAGGTCGAATTCCTGCTACGGGACCATTTATAATTAATTAATGGCTAGGGGGTGGTGTGTGTATGCGTGCGTGCGTGCGTGAGTGCGTGCGTGTTTTGTTTTTGTTTTTTATTTTAATAGGTGGGGACATCCATTCTGTTCTGGGGAGGTGGGGGCCATCAATTTTGTACACATGCTTCTCCATAAAAATCATCACCACCCCCATAAGCCATAAATCACGTACCGTCACTAATTATCCCTTTGTGGTAATCAAAGACATATACACAGTATTGTTCTCGCATCTGTGGTAATTTGTCCAATCCAATTAAAATCGAATTACAAATCCAGGTTGCTGTTGTATTGCTGTTGTATTGCTGTTGTACACCTGTGTATTTGTACATGGAATAGTTGTAAGTTAAGTATGCCAACCTGTGACAATATCATGAAGTATTTACACAACGACACGGGGCATCTGGTGTGGATATATACCGATGAGAACAAATAAGAAAACGCATAAAAGTATAGCTGATCCAATATTCATTTCCAGGTCTCTTTGCAAGCTTTGTATTGCAGTGTGGATGAAAATCGTGGAATTAATATAGAAAAGCGTCTACACGCGCAGCAGTGTGACTGAGCTTTCAAAGAACATTAATGTGTTAGACGCTGTACACTGGATCAACAAATCTTGGCAGAGTACTACAAGTTTGACAATCATGAAGTGTTTTTTTAGTGCCTGCGGGTTGTCAACTCCATTAAAATCTGTGTACCTCGGACTGCTGTCTAATTCGGACTTTTTAGTCGGTCCCAAGCTGGTCTGAATTAGACAGAGTGCATTTGTTCCCTTATTTCTTTCCATCAGTATATTTCAGCAGCACATGCATGAGTTTTAACATTGGGTAAAATCTAAAACCATTACTGTTCCAAACTAGACCTTACCTTGAGACTCAGCTCATCTGGAGATTGCGCAACAGGTTCAAAATGTCGCCAGGTCCCGTCTCTGTTCACGCAATATAGATCAATCAACAATACTTGTGCCACGTGACACAATACCAACGTAACGTGAACTTTCATTGGTCCAAGCTGTCGATGGTTTCCTTGCTCTTGAACAATGTCAGTGTTGATTCGTTATTGAATCTGACTATAACAACGACTGCACTCCAAGCGACTTTTGTATTCAAGGGTGGTTAGGGCTGTACACAAACAATAACCGACCAACACATTAATCCATTGCTGAGCAAACCACAGGGGCTTGTAACGCTAAAAACTGCCAGGCTAGAATGCACTTTACCTGGCGCAGCCCTCGCTGCTCCTTCTACGATCCTTAGGGTTAGGGTTTAGGGTTAGGCACCCTTTATTCTCCTTAGGGTTAAGCACCCTTTACTCTCCTTAGGGTTAGGGTTTAGGGTTAGGCACCCTTTACGATCCTTAGGGTTAGGGTTTAGGGTTAGGCACCCTTTACTCTCCTTAGGGTTAGGCACCCTTTACTCTCCTTAGGGTTAGGGTTTAGGGTTAGGCACCCTTTACTATCCTTAGGGTTAGGCACCCTTTACGATCCTTAGGGTTAGGGGTTAGGGTTAGGCACCCTTTACTATCCTTAGGGTAAGGCACCCTTTACGATCCTTAGGGTTAGGCACCCTTTACGATCCTTAGGGTTAGGGGTTAGGGTTAGGCACCCTTTACGATCCTTAGGGTTAGGCACCCTTTACGATCCTTAGGGTTAGGCACCCTTTACTATCCTTAGGGTTAGGCACCCTTTACGATCCTTAGGGTTAGGGGTTAGGGTTAGGCACCCTTTACTATCCTTAGGGTTAGGCACCCTTTACGATCTTAGGGCTAGGGGTTAGGGTTAGGCACCCTTTACTATCCTTAGGGTTAGGGTTAGGGGTTAGGGTTAGGCACCCTTTACGATCCTTAGGGTTGGGAGTTAGGGTTAGGGTTAGGGTTAGGGGTTAGGGTTAGGGAAACCCAGCAGCGCTAATTAATCTGAAAAAGTGCGCCCGGTAAAGTGCAGTACTCTGCCATCAAGGTATGTACTGTCACTGTCTGGGTCTATAGCGTTTCTAGCGCCTGTGGAGCAAACAGACATGTGAAGGCCCAGACCCCGTTACAGAAAGCTACCGTAGTGCTACGGCTGTCGTAAGTCTATGCTACAGATACGACAGTCGTAGCGCTACGAGAGCTTTGTGAAACGGGGTCCTGGGTTTGTATTCGTCTACGACAAATGAAATCGGGTCAGACAAATTTAACACGCCATATTATCCTACTTGCGTAGATCGATGCTCATGATGTTGATCACTGGATTGCATTGGCGGCTACGCAGGCTTGCTGACTTGGCTGACGTATCATCGTATCCAAGTGGCTGATTGATGTATGCTCATGAAGTCAATCACTGGATTGTCTAGTCCAGACTCGATCATAATCATCGTCATATAACTGGATTGTCTAGTCCAGACTCGATCATGATCATCTTCATATAACTGGATTGTCTAGTCCAGACTCGATCATAATCATCGTCATATAACTGGATTGTCTAGTCCAGACTCGATCATGATCATCGTCATACAACTGGATTCTCTAGTCCAGACTCGATCATGATCATCGTCATATAACTGGATTGTCTAGTCCAGACTCGATCGTGATCATCGTCATATAACTGGGAAATTTACAAAACTGAGAAATTATCACATCTGTACTATAATAGGATATTGACTAGGATGTTGGTGACATACGTTACGTGTAGGCAATATGTTAAGTAGTGAGTGAGTGAGTTGGGTTTTATGCCGCATTTAGCAATAATCCCGCAATGTCACTCAGTTTGTCTCAAATCTAAAATAGACAAAACTGTTAACACTGCAAGTAAAATTGCTGGAGTCAAATCTGAGTGTTCAAGCTGTCAGAATGATATCTTATCCAACCCTCAACTTACATTAGGAATACAACCTCCTCCCTTCAGCCCGCCGCTAAGTTCCAATTGTGAAAACTATGAGAGCCCGGACATATATTATTCCAAATACCATATCTCTTTTAAACAAATGTGAAGATGCTTACTATCATGGCGGGGAAAAACAGACATGTTCTTCATACATTGCACCCATGTGGGGTATCGAACCCGGGACTTCAGCGTGACGATCGAACACTTCAACCGCTGGGCTACCCTATCGCGCCCTATATGCAAAGTATAATACTCCGCTAAACAATTTAAGTGTAGTTACGTTCTGATAGCCACGAAAACGTTATGATGTTACTTTATTTATCTCTGATGTTTATGAAATCAGGGGTATTTAGGGTTGCAAGTAGTCTTAAGTAAGCTGTGTTGTTCGTAAGAGGCGACTTGTTTAGCCGAACTGGTTATATTAATCATAAGAACCCCGACAGTAACTTGCTCATAATATCAGTCACTGGTTTGTCAGATGTAAACACTGTTGTATGAATGATGTGGATGATGAGTGTCGTTATATTTTTAAATATACACATATTACAAAAGAAAGATCAATGTATATACAAGCTTCCTTTATAAAAAGACCAATATGTTAAAATTTAAATCACTCTTTACATGTAAAAAGATATCTGTTATGAAAAAGCTCAGTTAATTCTGTTAATATATCATACAAATTGTCAAATCTTCCGGCGAACTACTATGCCGCCATGATATTATCATATATTGTCATTTGCACCTCATATGCCGAGAGGGCGGCGGAGTAGCCTAATGGTTAAAGCGTTCGCTCGTCACGCCGGAGAACCAGGTTCGATTCCCCACATGGGTACAACGCGTGAAGCCCATTTCTGGTGTCCACCGCTGTGATATTGCTAGAATATTGCTAAAAGCGGCTTAAAACCATACTAACTCACTCAGTTACTCATGCCGAGGATATCGGCCTGAGCGTAATAACGTTTGTTCTGTTCTGGACTTGTTTCCCGTTTCACAAAGCTATCGTAGCGTTGCGACAGTCGTACTTCTACTGTAATTCTATGCTGTACATTCTGAGAAACCTTAGATCGTTCAATGTTAGCACATCCACGTTTGTTTTATTTTACAAAACGTTTATCCAAAGTGTTCTTTGTTTTTTTCATTGAAGTGTGGTCGGGGGCTCTCACAATAAAACAAAGAAACAAATTTTCCAAAATAATAACTCAACCAGACAAAATTTCAAGAACATCCTTCGAGTACATCACATGTTTAGGCCAGCGGCAAGTCAGAAACCTAGCACATAAAATTTGTACAGATTCGAACCACTTTCTTCATCCAGCCCAGACAGCGAATGGGACTTCTCCCAGGGAACACTGCCTTTTCGAACCCACCAAGAACTTTTCGGAGAATATGAAGGCTCCCCAAACACTGCAGCCTTCTGCATTACCCAGAGTGTCAGAAGGGCTGTGCTCCCGGTGGAGAACCCGGGCACTCTCCTGATCTGCGCCAAGAGATCAGGAGGTACCAAACCAAGGGCACCGAGAACAATGGGGAATCTGACGACTGTGTACTTGGGATGCAAGCGGGACATTTCAAAGGCTTTTCCTGAATCTTGCCAATCAAATTGCTATCAAAAGGATAGAAAATTCATTGGCTTTATACAAATGGAAGGTACAGCGATGGGAGTAAACAAGACAAGATCAGGTTTGTTGGCAGGAATTCTTCTGAGGCTGTATATGGGCCTATTCCACAGAAATTTGAAAGCATCATTTTCCATGACGCCCTGGACATGTTCAGGGTCGTTCCATGGATGGACCTCGGAGTCAAAGCCACAGACATGGCGGAGACGGTAGTAAAAGCAACGAGCCATGTCATCATGTCGTTTAAGATATGCTGTTTGTGGCACAGAAGGGCGTCCATTGAAAGGTGTTGTACAGTCTCTGTAAATTCATTACATTGTCGACATTTCATATTGATATTTTCTTTAAGAATCACATATAGGCGATTGCGAGTGGGAAGTGACTAGTCGTGAGCAGCAAAAAGGAAGACCTCAGGTTCACATTTAAGACCAGCCGACTTCATCCAGGCGAAGGAGTCGGTGGGATTGCTATTCTGTTCCACACCCTGCATGTACACACGATGCAATGGTTTCTCAGAAAGCTTCTCCACAAATGACCGACTCTGGGCAGACTTGGTGAAGGACTTCACTTGGTTTACTCCCATCGCTGTACATTGCCATCAGCAAAATCAACCTCAAATTTCAGATTCTGTCCAACAACCTTGACACGCTTAAAATGACTGTGGAATTCCTTGCTTTCATCATGAGTCTTGACATGCATCACCAGAGGATCATCCGATAAATAAATATGTGCAAAAGTACACAATACAATTCTACCATGAAGAGCCTCCACATTAATCAAACCCCGACCTCCAGAATTGATGAGCATACAGTTACGACAGTTGGAGCGCTACGATAGCCTTCTGAAATGGGGCCCAGAGTCGATTATTTGCTCACAGCTGTCATGTAGTCCAGATCTGAATTGCATTGGAACGTTGGTAAATCTATTGCATATTCTTCTGTTTCAACTTAGGGATATGTTAATGCAAGATCCATATAGTTGATATATACTGTGTACAATTTTCTCATGCAGATTGTGGTGGTGGGGTAGCCTAGTGGTTAAAGCGTTGGCTCGTCACGCCGAAGACCCGGGAGATTGGTACAATGTGTGAAGCTCATTTCTGGTGTTCCCCGCCGTGATATAGCTGGAATATTGCTAAAGGCGGCGTAAAACCATACTCATTCATTCTCATGCAGGTATTATCGCATAATTTTCATATGCATCATAAATGTTTTCTTAATCTGTACTGCCTACGTAGCACAGTGCAGCTGTAACTTCATACCAGTGACAGATATCTATCTACCTTTTTAGTAAACCAGCCATCTAGGGTTCAAGCTCAGCTTTCCACAGAAACCTTTGCAGATTTCTTAAGTTATGTTTCATATCCCATACTACCACTTTCCTGTCATGTGACCTTAAAAAGCACATGTGGTACTGGGACCCCAT